GGTCACTTTGCATATTTTGTCCCTCATTCATTATAGACTGAGAACACCAGCAATGTCAAATCTATAGAAATTCGAGGTTGTAAACGATTTTTATTAAGATGACCAGAAGAGCAAAAAAAAGCGTAGTGCATGTAAGCAGCATAATCAGTGTTAAGACCTAGTGCTGCCTCTTGACTCTGCTTTTCTCCTGAGCTACTGGCTCTTACCCTCCCACCTCCAGTCTAACTCCCTGTCTTCATTTTTAACTGTCTCCTGCTTCCCATTGCCTCGTTTGTTTTCTTTTGTGTGTTTGTTATTCTCCACCTCAGCTTTCCACATGTGCTTTAAGACAGTGTGAACAGTCGAGCAGCAGTCAGCCCCACCCAGTTATCTGAAAAGGCACCGACCCCCAGTGCTGTCACTTGCCACCTCCACACACCCCACAAACACAAGGAACACACGGAAGGACTGGGAAGGAGGGAGCATGGAGTGTGTTCAGGTGCATGATGAGACAGCATTGACCAGACACGAACTAAGTCTGTGGATGCTGAGTATGTACCAGGCTACTTCAAAATGTTTGTGGAAAAATTAAATTAAAAGACAATACGAATCCTTCCATTAATTTTTGAAGATCCCTCATATGTAATGCATACGTAAGACTTAGGCCAATTATGTTGCACCAAACCATTCTGTTTCAGAGATTTAGGAACCATTCACCATGCTAAATTCCTTTTCTAAATGCACAGATCTCATTGATTATCACAGACTCTCATCGTTTTTCTTCCAATGGAACTAAAAAAACAAAGTAAACAACTCTGAAAACCACTTACAGTAAAGCTCCACCTGGATTCTCTTTTCCACTTTCTTTTGTCCACAGGTCGCTGAGCACAGATAAAAGTGTTCGTTCTCAAAACTCACAGGGTGCAGGGTCAGTGTGGACTCGGTCCCTTCACTCCTCACCGTCCCATTCAGAGGGCTGTCTGTGTGGGTTCTCCAAGAGATAGATGGGGACTCGCAGCCTGTGACACCACATGTCAACACGACCAAGTCCCCAATCTGAGCAGCAATCCGGGGCCCAGGGGAGATCTCAATGGTAAACAGTTTTTCTGGGGGATGGGGGGTGGAGATGAAGATGAAAAGAAGATAAGATTATTTTCTTCTTTCATCATATTCTCATATATGATCTTTATTTTTCTTAATCTCCTTTTAGCTAATATCTGTGCCAAGAAGAAATTACTCCTTTTCACCTCAGGATCACCAGGAATGACACCACATCTTTTAAACATGAATTCATGATAGTCTGTTGATTCATTCATTTAACAGAATGAACATAGATAACGATTTGTCAAGAGAGAGACTGGCATCTTTTCATAGCAATAATCCAGTCTCTGCTCAAATATAATATATCAGCTCACTACAATAGTGGACAATAGCTCAAATAAATATAGTGGTTCCTGTGTGTCAAGCATTATGTAAACCACTTCACATGTATCATCTCATTTAATCCTCACAACAATTTCATGAACTAGTATTATTATTTCTTCTCGGCCTTTACTTCCTCCTCTTTCTACTTTCTCTTCCTTTTCCTCCTCTTTCTTCTTGAGAAAATTTAGATTCAGAAATGCTAACTAACTTTACCCAGTTTGCAAGTGGCAAAATTAGGACTTGGTGCCAGTTGCGTCTGATTCAAGACCCCAGCTTTTCAGTTGCTAGAACAACTAAATCAAGTTATCCTCATGTGGATATAAAACATGATCTAAAAGAGGAACTGGAAAAAGCTACAAAAAAGCCTTCCAATTAGATACAATACTCATAATGGATCAGTGCTTAGAGCTTCTGTTCCAACAATATAAAATTATAACATTGAAAGTTATGCAGAATCACACTGAAAGCAAGTCAAAATCTAAGCATTAAAGTGATACATAAGTCACCTCCAAAATTTGTTTGATGTGATATAAAAATATTTTGCAATTAACTCAGGAGATGAAAGCTGAGAAGGGAGGGCAAACTCCTAAGTCTCAAAACTCCTGCTGGGCGCACAAGCCTTTGTGCATAACTGCTGTTTAGGGAAAAAGAGAATTCCATATCTTCACTATTCCCCTGAAGAAACTGGGAGTGGTTGGGCAACTCTGAAAGGCACAAATGTGACTCTCTAGAAAATCACTAAAATCTTCCTTGTAAATAGCAGACTGGAGACGGGAGAAAGAAATCCTCAATACTTAAATAATCCCAATATACTACATTTTCTAAGGTTCTCATCTGTGCCAGGAGAAGTTATTTTTCTCAGTTTTGTTGGTTTAATTGTGATATCTTAGTATTTTCCAAGGAAGACTCTCCTCAAATTACCTCAATAAACTGTTATGCTATTAGATTTTGAAAGAGAGATCATTCAGAACAATAATCAGAGTTTCTGAATTCCTTATATGCTAGTATAAAAATGGGGAACTTTAAAAATAGATCCACTTCCTGCTTGTGAACAGTTCTCAGATAATTCTTTACAGCAGCTGCATATATTATAATGTGAACTTACAGCTCCTGGGGGAGTGACTCTTTTAGGTAGCTAAAGTTCAGTTCTATCTTCAGTGCTTTAAGGTCCTTAGGAGCCCATGTGATGCAAAATGCAAAACAACCCTCCTCAACCCCAGAACATCAAAATGAGATACAGCTTATTATGTGATTATGTGGTGGCACTATTCCAGGATGGATGATTAGCTTTCCACATTTTTATTCATGTAATATCTTTCCTGGTCACCTGAGAATGCTAACCTAACAACCAACTGAGTTAATCTACTGATGGTGAGTTTGAATTTTATTTTTTTAATCATCCAAATTTAAACTCTATGTTTTCATATTTTAAAAATTTGTGTTACCCATGTTTAAAATTCATTCATTTACTCGATAAACATTTACTGAATACTTATTATGTGTCAAGTACTGTGAGGAACCCAAACATTCAAACACACACACACACACACACACACACACACACACACACACACACACACACACACACGTGTTCCTGACTTTAAGAAGCTTACAATTGATGGAAAGACACATTTAAATAGATAACACTATACTGGCTCTTACTAAAGTATATTTAAATTACCTATTGATATGCCTGTCTTTCTTTCATAGTCTGTAAGCTCCCCCAGGGCAGTTGCCATATCTTCTTCCTGTCTGTACCCTCAGCACCAAGCACAGTTCTCGGACAAGGGCTCTTAGTTAATATGTGTTGAGACTGACATCAGCTTTGTGTTGGAGGATGGCTAGGACTTTGCGAGGTGAAGGAAGGAGAAAGGCCATTCAAGGCAGAAGGAACAGTACAAACAGAGGCACAGAGCTACCAACAAAGCTGCGAAGGTAGTTTCTGACCAGATTATAAAGAGTTATATGTGGTTATTTAAAGATATTTGGTTGAAGTCATATAAAATGAGCATGGCTTTGCTTAAGGTGATTAACTCTGATAGCCACGCATAGGACTGATTATCCTGGGGTCAGAATGATAGCAGGGAGACCATTTAAAAACAATTAGCTATAAAACACAAGGATTACTAGTCAGCCTTTAAGAAAAAAAAAAAAAAAAGGAAATTCTGTTATTTGTAACAACATGGATAAACCTGGAGGACATTATGCTAAGTGAAATAACTCAAGCACAGAAAGACAACTACCTCAGGATCTCACGTACACGTAGAATCTAAAATGTCAAACTGATGGAAGCAGAGAGTAGAATGGTGGTTACCAGGGCTGGGGGTTAGGGGTGGGGAGAAAGGGCATGGGGAGATGTTGGTTAAAGGGCACCAAGTTTCAGTTAGATACAAGACACAAGCTTTTAGATGCATTGCACAGCAGGGTGACTACAGTTAACAATATACTTTATTTATAACAGTTATATTTAATAATATAATAATTATAATTATAATCTTAAAATAATAATTTTATTTGTCACATTATTATTATAAAATAATATTATTATTTTATTTTAAAATAACTAAGAAAGCAAATTTCAAATCTCACCACAAAAAATAAGTGAGGTGATGAATATGTTCATTAGCTTGATTTAATTATTCCACATTTTTACATATATCAAAACATCACATTGTATTACATAAATGTATACAATTATGATTTGTCAATTAAATATAGCATTAATTTTAAAAAAACAATTAATAAAGATAGATAGCTATAATTGAAAAGGTGTGGAGTTTGGGAATAAAAAAAGCCTGTATTAAAATCATAGTAAATGCAACTAACAGGCTATTTGGCCTTAGGCAAATTATGAACTATGCTGTGCCAGAGTTTTTATCCACCTTATAGCACTGTGGTGAAGATGAATGAGATAATAAATATAAAGTAGAATGTAGAATTCCTGGCAAATATCAGGTATACAATCAGTAGGTGATACCATTACTAATCTCTGTGAGACTCTATTCTCTCATCTGTACAATGAGTATAAAATATTTACCCTATAGTTATTTCTTGAGGATTACAGATAGAATATATAAAATGCCTGAAACATAGTTAGGGTTCAATGAGTGCTGTTATTTAAGAACATCTTACAAGAGTCCAAGTGAGAGATGATAAACTAAGGCAATGGCAAGAAGGCCGAGGAAGAGGTCAGATTCTAAGGATCATTTTGGGGTGGAACTGACAGTTTGGAATAATACGGTATGGAAGCATGAATTTGAGAATAATCAGCTTATAGTAGTCCACTTCTTGGGGGTCTAGAGTGAGAAGAGAAGAGGACCAGGTGTGGTAACCTGAAAATACCAACATTCAAGAGGCAGGAGGAAGAGAAAAAGCCAAGGAAATGATGCAACATGGAAAAGAACCAGAAAAGCAGAGCCATGGAAGCTCTTGGAGGAAAGACTTCCAAGAAGTACGAGTAGGATAAATACCCACATATATTTGTGCCTAAGTACATGGCAATCAGTTGGGCCATCAATGAAACTTAGGGAAGGAATTTCAGCATTGAAGCTGTGTCATATTACTCAAATCCCAATGACAACACCTTTATCATTCCTTTTTCACATTCTACTCACCTTGAACAATTAATTCCACTTCTTTTCTGCTTTTCCCAATCAGATTACCTCCTTCACACACATAAATTCCAGAATCTTCTATCCTCATAGCAATTAAGGTGAGAGTTGCATTCCCAGAAAGGAGCTGTAGATTCCCGTTATCTAATTTCTTGCTCCAGAAAATCTCTGGAGCTGGTAGACCCTCACTGGAACATGTCATCGTCACAGAGCCACCTTCCTGCAGCCTTGTGGAGGGATTCACAGAGATAACTGTATTTTTGGGTGAGACTGAAAAAGCAGGGCATAATATTAGCAATTGCTAAGCATCATCTTGATCCAACAGGAGTAATATATTTCTCTCATAGATTGTGTTTATGTGCTTCCACAAATCTAACAAACTTACTCTGCCAAATTAGTATTAAAAACAGCTGACTCATTACAAAATAGTCTAGTTTCTGATGAACTTGAGTTACTTTTTTTGATGTTTAGTGTTTTCAGATGGTTGCTGATACTCAGAAATTAAGACGGGCCCTTAGAGTCATGAGGTTCAATCTCCCACCTATAAGTAGGAGTCCCATCTAAGCATCCTTGCCAAGTGCTCATTCAAGTAAGCCTCAACATTTACTGAAAGAGACAACCCATTGCTTTATAAAACAGTCAATTTGAGCTTTGGACAGATCTAATCCTAGAACATTTTCTCCCATTGAGCTGAAATCTTCCTCTTTGAAACTAACTTCTACAAACTAGTCATAGTTCAGACTTTTACAGCTACAGAATAAACCAAATCCCTCTTTAAAAGACACTACTGTCTTTTAAATACTTAATTAGAGCTCTTTTTTCCAAGTTTTGTTTCTCTGGAAAAATATCCACTTTCTTGACTATTCTTCTCAAAACATTGTTAAAAGTCTTTCCCATCTCCTTCTCTTTTCACTAAACATGCTAGAGTTGGTGATACTCCTTTTAAATGTGGTGCCCAGAACAGAACAGAGCAATTTAGTCTAGAACAGGGCACAGGGAGTTCAATCCTACATTATTCTAGGACTACAAGACTGCCTCAAATCCCTTGGTAGTCTCAGTTAGACAGGGGACAATCAAACCCTGTCACCTTCCCCCCACGCGTATGTGTGTGTGTGTGTGTGTAAGCTTATTTATATACAGGTGTGCACACACACATACACAGAATGAGTGCTCACCTTCTAAAGCTTCTATACCTATGCAACTAATATTTCAAGGCATATTATAAGAGTTTACAAACCATGATTAAAAACATTTTATTATTTGAGCCTATTTTCAATCAGATTGTATTATTCCCCTTTGATAGACTGGGAAACAGAAAAATTAAGTAACCCAAGCTCAAACAATTAATGGAACTAGAAATTAAGCTCAAACCTTCTCACTCCAAATCCAGTATTCTTTTCATTGAATTATGCTGTTGGCAAATGTTATGTTCTCAACAAATAAAAATGGAGTAAAAACTACAAACATATTTCTTGTTGACTCAGTTGCTAAGTTTATTGCTATATACACCCAAGATTGATCTCTCATAACGACTAGACCAAATCACACAAGTACTTACTGTAGACTTGCAGTACTTTTGTAGTCTCCCTTTCTTTGGGTGCAAAATCAGTTTCATCAACATGTAATTTAGCTCGGCAAACAAGAGCTTTCCCAATATCCTCAACGATAGGAGTAAAGGTTACTTCCAAACTCTTGGTTTCCGGGGACTTCCTATCCATAACCTCCAGAAATTCCTGATTCTTCATGAGATGGTCACCTTTCAGTAAATCTATCTCCAGCTTGTCAAATGGGTACACATCAGGGACCAAACACTTGACTGTGATTGGTTTTCCGACTTCCAGAAGGCCATTCAAATGAATCTCGGGATCCCTAGGGAAAGCTGCAAAGGCCAAATACATGAGTAGGCTTTTTGCTCATGTTACATAAGTCCTCTTAACATTTTAACACAATGCAAATTAATCCTAATGTTTTTGTTAAAACAGTCTTATTAATACAACAGAATTAATTGTTCAAATGGTCTTTCATGGTTTGTGGTGGGTTCAAGAAGCAGGAATCAGAATCAGCCACCTTTTAGAGGATTCTCCAGTTCTGATCTTGCATGTATTAAGGGTTGCATGCTATTGGAGTAAAGGAAGGCAGAGAAAATCTAACATTTATTGAAACTTTGTGCCCATCACATTGCTATAGATTTAACATAAATGATTTTATCTGACCCTCACAATAACCCTAAGAGACAGGGACCACATATTACAGATAAGAAAATTTGGACTATGACTCTGTACTGCTACTACAGATTTATATTATGTTATTACCATATTCTCTTATTTTAGTCAGGGCAGATATATTTTAATTTTACAGATAATGCATCTAAGGCTCAGAATGCCATCGTAAAGAATAGTTGTTGAGCAAGATATACTAAGAAATGTAAAGAGCAAATTTATTGTGTGTGTGTGTGTGTGTGTGTGTGTGTGTGTGACCGGTAAGGGGATCGGAACCCTTGGCTTGGTGTCATCCGCACCGCGCTCAGCCAGTGAGCGCACCAGCCGTCCCTATATAGGATCCGAACCTGCGGCCTCTCCCAGTGCCGCACTCTCCCGAGTGAGCCACGGGTTCGGCCCTGAAAAGAGCAACTTTAAATAATTGGGTTTTGAAAATGCTGCCTCTGACAGGAATTCATCCACAGAAAGGTATACCTGTTCAGTGTTTAAACTCTGGAAGGCAGATTTGCCTCCTGAAATGCCTAATTTAATGTCCCAACCATATACCATTGAACCTTCTAATACAAAACAACACAATATTTCAGTTGGTCAGTGCCTCTTTAGCAAGGGTTACCTTTTTCATTACACACTGTCGTGA